ATACATAAAGTTATCACAAAGACAGAATTTTCCTATGAGGAATTTTATTATACCACTACAAATCATCCTGAGCAGAGATGTCAATGATAGACATAAATTACATTTGAGAGTAACTCTGCATATTAATTTTTCAATATCTATTCAAGGCAGATCACTAATTTCATTATATGTAAAATCTTCAGTACTCCTAAGAATAATTATATCTTGCAGCAATTCTAAGGATTTATATGTGATGAAATTTGCTTCTTCTTTCATTGAGCATTTAATAATATCTTATTCAATTGTAGCATGGCCTTAGTTCTGCTGTGAGGCATTAAGAAAGAGATCTAGATACAACATCATGTCTATAGAAGTTACCTGACACAGAGAGAAGGGTGTCAATTAGATGCAAAGAAAGTTCAATAATTGAGTGCCCAATTTTGTGTCAAGGTGCTAGATAATGTTGAGAAAGATTCATGGATCATGAAATTATCTCTGAAACTTAAAATAACCATTCTGCATATAAATGGCAGGCTCATACCCCATTAATGGGAAACAAAAATGGTAAGGTAAGAATCATAGTAGTTTGAACATCCAATGTTTTCATAAAGTCAGAAAGACAATTTGATTGTCACACCACAAGATGTTGCTATATGCACAAATGTATCAGTTGATGCTAAACCAAGAATACTTACTACTAATGACTGATGCATGAAAATCATACATGGAAATTAAAGTATCATTTAATGAGACTGGAGAGATGGTTTAGCACTTAAGAGCACCCACTGTTTTTGCAAAAGACCTGGTTTTCGTTCCTACATCCCATATGGCATACCACCACATATAATTCCAGTTCCAAGGTATCCAATGCCCTCTCATGACTTCTGTGAGTCCCTGAATGTACATGGTAACCCATATGTCTCATCAAAGTATAAAAACAAATGAAATCACACTAATGGTGACTAAAATTAAAGAAGCCCATTTCTTTCCTATATTATGAATGGTCTCCATCATGGCTTTTAAAAATCTTACCCCAAATTTATTAGCTAGTTTTGTTGTTACAAAGTACTTGACAAGAAACCACTTCAGGGAGAAAGGATTCATCTAAGCTTATAGTTTAAGAATACATTCCCAAATTGAGAGGGCATAGAGACAATGTCCTTTGCCTTACAGAAGCTTTTCAGTTTCAGAAGGTCCCATTTATTAATTGTCAGTCTCAGTGTCTGTGCTACTGGTATTTATATTCAGGAAGTAGTCTCCTGTGCCAATTCATTCAAGGCTATTTCCCACTTTCTCTTCTAGCAGGTTCAGTGTAGCTGGATTTATGTTGAGGTCTTTGATCTACTTAGACTTGAGTTTTGTGCATGGTGATAGATATGGATCTATTTGCAGTCTTCTGCATGCTGACATCCAGTTATGCCAGTACTAGTTTTGAAGATGCTTTTTTTTTTCATTGTACAATTTTGACTTCTTTGTCAAAAATCAGGTGTTCACAGGTATATGGATTTAGGTCAGGGTCTTCAATTCGATTCCATTGATCCACATGTCCATTTTTATGCCAATACCAAGCTGTATTTTTATTGCTATAGCTCTATAGTTGAGTTTGAAGTCCAGGATGGTGATGCCTCCAGAGGTGGCTTTATTGTACAGGATTGTTTTAGCTGTTCTGGGTTTTTTGTTTTTCCTATGAAAGTTGAGTGTTGTCCTTTTTTTTTTTTAATTAAGATTTTTTTTATTTATTTTACATACCAGTCAAGGATCACCCTCTTTTCTCCTCCTGCCCCCTCCAACCTCCCCTCTCCACAACCCACCCCCACTCCCTCCTACAAGAAAGTAGGCAGTCAGCAGACCTGGTACATTCAGTAGAGGCAGGTCCAAGCCCCCCGCCCCCCTCACTCAAGGCTTTACAGGGTATCCCACCACAGGTAGTAGATTCCAAAAAGCCTGCTCATGCTCCAGGGATGGATCCTGATGCTACTTCCAGGGGACCCCTTAAAACTGAACATGAGGAGTGGGCAATGAAGGGGAGGGGATGGGGGATGAGAACATAAGGGAATGGGATAGTCAGTCTGGAACAGGGATGGAGTGGGAGAGAAATGAAAGAGATATCATGATGGAGGGAGACATGGAAATTGGAAGAGGCTTGGTACCTAGGAACTTACCAGGAATCCACAAAGATGACTCCAACTTAAACTACTAGCAATAGTGGAGAGGGTGCCTGAACTGGCTTACACGAGTAATCAGATTGGTGAATACCCTAACTGTCATCATGGAGCCTTCATCCAGTAACTGATGGAGGCAGATGCAGAGATCCATGGCCAGGCACCAGGCCAAGCTCTAGGAGTACAGTTGAAGAGAGAGAAGAGGGATTCTATGAGCAGGAGGCATCAAGATCATGATGAGGAAACCCATGGAGACAATCAAACCAAACTTGTGGGAACTCATGAAATTTAGACCAACACCTGTGGAGCTTCCACAGGACTGGGCTAGGCCCTCTGAATAAGAAAGACAGTTGTGTAGTTTGATCTGCTTAAAAGTATTGTTCTTTTGCGATCTGTGAAAAAATGTGTTAGGATTTTGGTGGAGATTGCATTGAATCTGTAGATTGCTTTTGGTAAGATTGCCATTTTTACTATGTTAATCCTACTTATCCAAGAGCATGGGATATCTTTACATTTTCTGATAACTTCTTCAATTTCTTTCTTCAGAGACTTAAAGTTCTTGTCATACAGGTCTTTCAGCAATAGCACTCTTGGACACATAACCAAAGGATGCTCACTCATACCACAAGGACACTTGCTCAACTATATTTATAGCAACATTATTCATTATAGCCAGAACCTAGAAACAGCCTAAATGGCCCTCAACTGAAGAATGAATGAAGAAAATGGGGTACATTTACACAATGGAGTATTACTGAGCTGTAAAAACAATAACGTCATGAAATTTGCAGGCAAATGGATGGAACTAGAAAAACTCATCTTGGATGATGTAACCCAGACCCAGAAAGATAAACATAGTATGTACCCAAAGATAACTTGGCTATAATTCACAGCCCTAGAGAAACTAGGTAACAAGGAGGGCCCTAAGAGGGATGTGTGGATCACCCTGAGCAGGGAAACATGAGATCTCCTGAGTAAACTGGGTGCTGGGGGGGGGGTAGAGGGGAGGGAATGTGGGATGAGAATATGAGGGATTGGGATAGTCGATTTGGGGGAGGGATAAAGAGGGAGAGCAATGAAAGAAATATCTTGATAGAGGGGGCCATTATGGGGTTAGGGAGAAACCTGGTACCAGAGAAACTCTCAGGAATCAACAAGGATGACCCCAGCTAAGACTCCTAGCAATAGTGGAGAGGGTGCCTGAACTGGACTTCTCTTATAATCAGAATAGTGACTACCCTACCTGCCATCATAGAACCATCATCTAGTAACTGATGGAAGCAAATGCAGAGATCCACAGCCAAGAACTGGGCTGAGCTCTAAGAATCCAATTGAAGAGAGAGAGAGAGAGAGAGAGAGAGAGAGAGAGAGAGAGAGAGA